AAATAATTTCAATCTTATGAATTAAATTTCTTCTTGTTTCATTTACTTTTATATTAAATTATTAAAAATAAAAAATATATTTAAAAGTAAAAATTCTTGACATTAATCGAAAATTTGATTTGATGAACAGATTTGATGAAAATCGTTTAAAAAGAAAAATAGGACAGAAATTTAAAAAAAAAAGGAAAACTGGATTACAAAAAGTGAAAAAAAAACGAATATTTGAAGTAAAATGTCATGGAAATGTTGACATTATTGTCACCAACAATTTATTAAAAATATGAATATTAATTGATTTCAATTATCTGATAAATTATTTCAGTATAATTTTGCTAAAAATTATTATTATTATAATAATTTTTTTTCCAAATATATAAATAAAACTTTAAGAGCTTTCAATTTCAAACTTAACTTTAACCATTTCATTTCAGAATTTTTAATGAATATTTTAAAATTTTTGAGAAAAAATTTTTTTTCTTTAAAATTTGAATTTATAATTGGAAATTAATCTTAACTGGATTTTTTTTTTCAAATATTTCCTTCTCGTTTTATGCAACCATTAAAAGGGTCAAAAAAAAAAACTTTTGTATGTATGTGCGTCTGTTTCTGTGTATGTATCTGTATGTGTATGTGTGTGTGTGTGTATGTGTATGTGTATGTCTGTGTCTGTGTATGTGTCTATGTGTGTGTGTGTGTATTTATGTATGTATGTCTGTGTATGTGTGTCCGTAAAAAAGGCAAAAATTTTCAATCATTTTACTTAATCAAAATACAAAAGTTCAACAGTTCGCAGATTCTATGATGGCTAAATAGATAACAGGTAATTAATTTCACCTCTTCGTAACAGGTAATTAATTCCAACCTCTTTATAAAATATGCAAATTTTCCCACAATCATTTTGATATTAAAACTACAAAAATACTACACTTGTGATGGTAATTTCTTGTAACTAATTTATAAAAGGCAACGTGATTGAAATGATATTAAAATTAAAATTGTTCCTTGAAATGGTATTAAAATTATTATAAAATACTAAATTTCATTATTATCAAATTTCGTTGTATTTAATTAATTTAAAATGTCACAATTATGTTGCTTAAAACATCATTAATTAGTGATATTAATTAAAATGCTAAACAAAAAAAAAAAGGAAAATACTTGTTGAAATGATACTAAAAATTATTATGAAATTTTTGTGAATACAATCATAAATTTCAAACAAAAAAAAATTGACAAATTAAAAAAATTTTAAATGATAAAAATAAAATAACAATCTTAGTTTACCAAAAAAAAAATAAAGTAAATAAAATCGATACCTTAAAAATATTGATTTTTTTTTTCAGAGATAATTCAATCAATTATTAAAAAGATGAAAAAGAAAAAAAAAGTGAAAATATTTTTTATCAATTTATTGTAAAATGAAAAATAACAACAATTTTTTTCAGCTTACGTTGTACTTTTTAAAAGAGATAAGAAAAAAAAAAAAAAGAAGAAAAGAAAAGAAAGAGAAATTAAACTCGCTTTCCTTCTGAAATACACAAAAATAATTTCATCCTTCAACATTTCCCCATTTTAAGAAGTATTTTTCCTTTTTCTTTTGTCTTTTTCAGTTTCTTTTTTTTTTTTAAAACTTATCAATCAATAAAAAGAAAGTGTAAAACATCAATGAATCTAAATGGGGATTTTACCGGGAAACGGTCTAGATATTGTTATTTTGATAAAAATATTCATTGTAATTCATATTTGCAATTTGTTTGATAAAAATGAATTAGTAATTGGTATGAAGAGAAGAAATACATGCAAATGTAGTAATTAATTTATCAGTTCAAATGTCATCAATCATCGGAATGATAATTAGTAATTAGGAAAAGAAATTAAATGAGCAAAATGAAAATGCTTATTACCAATGGTTTTGAAAATCAGTTAATGTTTGCGCAATTTATTCTATCAAAAGAATTGTTATTATGATGAATGAATCGATTGATTCATTCAAGTTATCCAATTAAATAATTGATAACAAAATTATCACTGATAAATTCGAGAATTACACTTTGCATGCTTTCATTGCATTTTGTGTCAATAATAAACGTAGAAATATTTCTGGAACCGTTGAAAAGAAAGTTAAATTGTAATAAAAATTAAAGTTTCAAAGATCATTACGAGTAATCAACGAGAAATTATCAGTGGAATGATTGATAATGATGGAAATGCTATATCGTTGCCTTGTCTTACCTGAAGGCAACAAACTTCCCATGATATTAGGCAACCGCGGGATATTTTCAGGATGATTGTTGAATAATGGAAAGATTAATGGGTGAGGACGTGGACATGAATGTAAGGTATGCATGTGACATGAAAGTAATACAGGTTTTTTACTTTGTTGTAGAAAGTTGTGGAAACGAAAAAGAAAGGTATGACAAATGCATGGCATGGAAAGGGGGGACAAGTTTCAAATTTCAAAAATTTCCAACACTCAATAACTTTCCGTTTAACAATTTCCACAAAAGTGATAATTAAGTCGTTGTGACGCATTGTGACAATAATAAAAAATCTATTTAAATCATAAATTTTTGTCACAGAATTCTATAAATACTATTTGAAAAATATTTCATATATCTCTCTGAAATGTAAATTTGCTAATTTCGCTTAAAATTTGAATAAAAAATCACATAAATGATGTGTTATAACATTAATTAATAGTGATTGAATTGAATTTCCC